ACAATAACAATAACAATGACAATCAGAGTTAAATATGATTTGGGTAGCAATTTTAATTCTTAAAATATGTATTTGCTTTTTCAATTTAGTCTTAATTGTAATGATTTTTTCAAATTAGTCTCTAAAGTATTTAATTTGTGTCACTTTAGTCTCTACATAGGCGAACTATTAAATTTTTGACGGAATGATTACGTGTTAAGCACGTTATACCTTCTAAAAAAATGACACGTGGGTCAAGATAAACCTTGTAGGTTCATCTACGTAAGAACCAAAGTGATACAAATTGAATACTTTAGGAACCAAATTAACAAAATTGATACAATGAGAACAAAATTAATAAAAAATGTACACTTTAAGGACTAAAAGTTTTATTAACCCTATAATTACAAATAATTTTTTAGCATAAAGGGGAGAGTGATTCAATTATTCATCTTGATTGCATTCTTTTATTTCTTGGTAAACTATATTTTATCTCCATGTAATTTGAGCAATGACATCTACCTTTTTCTATATTTTAAAAACCTACAATATTCACCCATTAAACTTTAGGACTAAAGAGAAACAACTACCAGAATATCTATAATTCTTCTTTTAATTCTATAGTTTATTTTTTAGAAATCTTGAAAAAACTAAAAAATCTACTTAATGGATGAAAAGTGAAGAGAGAGAAAGAAAGGGGATTCAGAATATATCTGTTTATGATTAGACCATTTAATAAAGACACATGACAAGTAACACATGCAAAGTAATAGAGAGGGTCTTTTGGTGGGACAAAGTGTCTCTGGCCAAGCCAAACGAGTCTAACCGAGCAAATTTAAGAGTCAGCAAACCAGAATCGAACATGCTCGAGCCGGATGTGTTCATCTAGTAGAGATATAAGAGTCATAATCAATAACACTTCAAACATATTAGTACCCGGAAAGGAACTCTGATTCCACAAAAAGTGGGATCAATAACAAACTCTGTCCGAACAAAGGATGACTAGGCAACTGCTGAAGGCCAAAGGCGTTTAAGAAGGAAGAACAAGGAAGTTGTTTAAGGTAATCATTATTAACATGTGACCTAAATAATGAGAATGAAAACCTAAAAGGTTCAAACATGAATTAAAGAATGACTAGTTCGAATTTAGGTGTGCTATCATATTCCAACAAAATTCTAAGTCCAATGAAATCGGCACATGCACCAATAAACATTAGATGGGCTTAAGTCTACAGAGATACACTTGTTTCCCAGTAATTTGCTTGTTTAATTTTAAATTATTATTAACTTAATTATCGGAGTGTCTCCAGACATTTAAATTCATATCTGTTGTAGTTTGTTCATCTTACAGAAAGAAAGTGTACTCAATTTTTTTAGTGATTAAGGTTACTCAATTCTTATACCAATCACTATCGATTTGCAAGGTTTGTAAATTTTTTTTGTACATAAATAATAATATTATATGCCCGAGGGTATAAAAATTATTTTGACATGTTATTTTACCAGAATTGTTAACTTATTATCATTAATAATTAATTACCACTAAATTCTTAATGATTTTATTTTATCTCATATAATGAATGATTTGTATTTGAATTATATAATATGTTTCTACTGGTGAAGGCAGAATAGTAGATCATCATCTATTTGTCCCTACCGTCTTAGCCATGTCGTCGAGGCACGAAGCAAGTACACAGAACCCCATACCCACAGTAGTCTCAGAAAGAAGGACCCCATCGGGCAAACCCTGCACTATAAGCACCATCAACCCTCCACGCACAAGCTCTTGTGCTCTACCACTTAAAAACTCCTCCATATCTTTCCTGAACTGAGCTGAANCTGAGAAGGTAACTTCTGAAGAGGTAGTATTGATAGCTGTTATTATATGGGTTATGTGGTTCAATAGAAACAAGTTTCGAGTTGAACATTGCTCCAGATCACCGGTGGAAATTATCCAGTTCTCAAGGGAATATCTTCACCATTTTCAAGCTGTTAATTGTTCGAGGTTGAGCTATCATATGCCGAATGTGTCTGAGAAGAGATCTAAGTGGATTCCACCACAATCTGGTGATTGCAAAGTAAATTTTGATGGGGCTGTTTTTCGCTCTTTCAGTTGTTCTGGAGTAGGTGTTGTTATTAGGGATTGCTTTGAGAATTTTCTGGCAGGTTTAAGTCAGAAGGTGGAAAGTGTTTTAAGTACAGATTGTGTGGAGGCTTTGGCTGCTTATACAGCTGTGCAATTAGCGGTGGATATGGTTATCTAGCATTATTCTTGAAGGTGATTCCAAGTCCTTTATTAAAGATTTATCACAGGAGCAGCAGTCCTTGTCTGAAGTTGGTAATTTTCTTGATCAAACTAATGTCCTGAAGGCAAACTTTCAAGTTTTCTCATCGGTTTTGGGTTAGTAGGAAAGGCAATGTGGTTGCCCATAATTTAACTAAATATGCTATTAATTGTAATTTTGTACGTTGTGGAGAGAAGAGATTCCATCTTTTTTGTTATCTCATCTCCACAATGATGTATCAAGTGTTGTTTAGCAAATAAAAGAAAATTATTTTTTCTCTCAAAAAATAAAAATAATGATTGATGGAGACTGCTTTCAATCTAATGGCCGTATAAAAAAAATCATTGATGTACAACAATTTCTAAATAATATTATTAAAATACAACACTCTAAAAATGGAGTCAACAACTCTACTTTTATTAAAGAGCGGGATCAACAGTCCAGCTTTCTTAAAACCATCGTCAATAACTTCACTTTTAATGGAGGGTAAAATTTTCTTTCACAGGTCAAAAGCTTGGTGAGGAAATTATAGGCAGAATTGTGGTTAGTAAACAGGACCAAGAATAACAAGTACCCAGAAGAAATAAAGCACCAAGAACAAGGAATACTTCATGAATCAATCTATCCCAAACAAGAAAAGTAAGAAATCACACATCTTTGATTCCTGAATAATTCTGGGTTTCAAGGTATTTATAGACAGAGGATCTCTCTCTCGCTCTCTCTCTCTCCAACTCAAATCACCCAACCGGACCACAATTTATTTAGAAGAAGAAAAAAAAAAGAAGGTAAGTTAGACAAAGACGAAGAGAAGAGAAGGAAACAGAGGAGATATGTCTTCAAATTTCCTCCAGTTGCGCCGATCAGATCATTGATTTTTTAATCTACTGATTAAATGAGATATTTATGGATCCAGTTGAACCGATCAGATCGTTGTTGTAAGAAGTGGAGAGAGAGAGAGAGATGGATTGGATTGCACAAAACTTGCTGGGAAAAAAAAACACATGTTTAATAACCACGCTTTTCATGTGTTAAGCCCATAGTTTTCGTGCTATTACCAATCATTTTTTCTTATTTAAAAAGAGGATTTTTGATCCCATTTTTTAACAAAAGCAGGATTGTTGAACTTGCTTATAAAAAGTGTCTTGGTTTGTTAAAAATGTTTCAAACTGCTGTATTTCGTTAATATTATTTAGAAAGTATTTTACACCGGTAAATAACTCGTTTTTTTTGTGAGTATTAGTAAGGGTAGTTAAGCTGAGGGCCTGCTTGATATGATTTTTAAGCCTGGGAGGTTGTGGAACTATTATTCAAATGTTAAATGATCGTCTAATTTGGCCAAATTTCAAGAACCGTAGTAAAATTTACATTCCTCAAACTTGTGTCGACATATTTAGCAAATTGATTTTAGATAGTTTAAGTTACGAAAATACTGATCCAATCATTCATATAAAATATTTAAAAAAAAAGTGGATTACACACGATTACTATTACTTACCCTGATAACAATGTTTTGCCACATTACAGACGTTATTTAACCTTTCACATTTATACCGATATCACCAGCCTTGTAGTACGTAGCATTGGAATGGACTTATACCATCACTATTCATCACGTACAAAGAGACTATTCGTATTATGATCAAGCGACTTTTCTCTTGAGAAACACAAAATAATTAGCCTCTTTACGGTACTTCTCATCGTATATGAATGCACTCTCCCCAAGTTTCTTAATGTGGCGTTGGAACAAGTCGTCAAGGATCTCATCTCCGAAGTGTTCCTCAATTAGTCCCCCGATGACAGCTCTCAAATGCATGCCAACAAGTTGAAGATCGGGTGTTTCGTGTCTCCAGGGGGTACTCAATTTCTCTATTCTTTCAACATGGAAATATCCATTTGTCTCTATCAATGCCCTTAACTCCTTTGAAGAGGGATGGTAGAAAGGCAAGTTGAAGGAGTCCACCTTTTCTGCACTTACAACACCCTACAATAACAATAACAATGACAATCAGAGTTAAATATGATTTGGGTAGCAATTTTAATTCTTAAAATATGTATTTGCTTTTTCAATTTAGTCTTAATTGTAATGATTTTTTCAAATTAGTCTCTAAAGTATTTAATTTGTGTCACTTTAGTCTCTACATAGGCGAACTATTAAATTTTTGACGGAATGATTACGTGTTAAGCACGTTATACCTTCTAAAAAAATGACACGTGGGTCAAGATAAACCTTGTAGGTTCATCTACGTAAGAACCAAAGTGATACAAATTGAATACTTTAGGAACCAAATTAACAAAATTGATACAATGAGAACAAAATTAATAAAAAATGTACACTTTAAGGACTAAAAGTTTTATTAACCCTATAATTACAAATAATTTTTTAGCATAAAGGGGAGAGTGATTCAATTATTCATCTTGATTGCATTCGTTTATTTCTTGGTAAACTATATTTTATCTCCATGTAATTTGAGCAATGACATCTACCTTTTTCTATATTTTAAAAACCTACAATATTCACCCATTAAACTTTAGGACTAAAGAGAAACAACTACCAGAATATCTATAACTCTTCTTTTAATTCTATAGTTTATTTTTTAGAAATCTTGAAAAAACTAAAAAATCTACTTAATGGATGAAAAGTGAAGAGAGAGAAAGAAAGGGGATTCAGAATATATCTGTTTATGATTAGACCATTTAATAAAGACACATGACAAGTAACACATGCAAAGTAATAGAGAGGGTCTTTTGGTGGGACAAAGTGTCTCTGGCCAAGCCAAACGAGTCTAACCGAGCAAATTTAAGAGTCAGCAAACCAGAATCGAACATGCTCGAGCCGGATGTGTTCATCTAGTAGAGATATAAGAGTCATAATCAATAACACTTCAAACATATTAGTACCCGGAAAGGAACTCTGATTCCACAAAAAGTGGGATCAATAACAAACTCTGTCCGAACAAAGGATGACTAGGCAACTGCTGAAGGCCAAAGGCGTTTAAGAAGGAAGAACAAGGAAGTTGTTTAAGGTAATCATTATTAACATGTGACCTAAATAATGAGAATGAAAACCTAAAAGGTTCAAACATGAATTAAAGAATGACTAGTTCGAATTTAGGTGTGCTATCATATTCCAACAAAATTCTAAGTCCAATGAAATCGGCACATGCACCAATAAACATTAGATGGGCTTAAGTCTACAGAGATACACTTGTTTCCCAGTAATTTGCTTGTTTAATTTTAAATTATTATTAACTTAATTATCGGAGTGTCTCCAGACATTTAAATTCATATCTGTTGTAGTTTGTTCATCTTACAGAAAGAAAGTGTACTCAATTTTTTTAGTGATTAAGGTTACTCAATTCTTATACCAATCACTATCGATTTGCAAGGTTTGTAAATTTTTTTTGTACATAAATAATAATATTATATGCCCGAGGGTATAAAAATTATTTTGACATGTTATTTTCCTAGAATTGTTAACTTATTATCATTAATAATTAATTACCACTAAATTCTTAATGATTTTATTTTATCTCATATAATGAATGATTTGTATTTGAATTATATAATATGTTTCTACTGGTGAAGGCAGAATAGTAGATCATCATCTATTTGTCCCTACCGTCTTAGCCATGTCGTCGAGGCACGAAGCAAGTACACAGAACCCCATACCCACAGTAGTCTCAGAAAGAAGGACCCCATCGGGCAAACCCTGCACTATAAGCACCATCAACCCTCCACGCACAAGCTCTTGTGCTCTACCACTTAAAAACTCCTCCATATCTTTCCTGAACTGAGCTGAATATGCCTCTCTAACCTCTTTCACTGGGCTTGTGTGTAGAACACTTCCTTTATTCCATGCAAGAGAGTTTCTATCCTTCAGTTCCTTTGGTACTTCTGAGAGCCAGTGCAGTGCAGCAGAGCAGTGAACAAAATGAAGGGTGCTGTTTGGAAACAACCGGCGGTGGAAAGAACCCGCGACTCCGGCGGCGAAGTATTTCCGGTTAGTGGGGAGGGTTTTGAAGAGAGTGTTGAAATCATTGGTGGTGTGGTCGTTGAAGAAGACATGGAATGATGGGGTTTGAGGGTTTGATTTGTATTTCAGTTCAATGGCTTCAATGATGTTGTTCACTGCATAGAATGTGTTGGGTCCAACAGAACAGCCTAAATCTGCAATGCAGATGGGGTTTGATGGATCAAAGGAAGGGTTTTCAACGTCAAGCTTCTCTGCTATCATCTCGTTGAGCAGTCCCTTTGCAAAATCTATTACTTCTTTCTGCAAAACGTGAATTTGCATCGATATAAAGGTTCATCCTTCGTCTATACCAAATATTTTTATCAAATTTCTTTCTCGTATGATGTGACATATGGGTCTTATTAATATTCAAAGATAAACAAATTTAGTAAATATAACTTTGCTATTTTTAAAAACCATCCCTAGAATAGATTTGAATCTACAACTTATGATATGCTGGTATAGCCGCCAATTTGTGGAAACTATTCATTCATAAACAATCACTTAGTTCAAAAGTTTAACTTGTTATAGATAGTGTAATTTAAGTATTCATACTTCAACACGTCTTTTCACATGCAGGTTAAATTTTGGACCTAAAACGTAAAAATTCTTTTAATAATTGTGATGGACGTGAGATTCAAACATATGACCTATTGCTCTGATACCATGTTAAACAATCATTTACTCTAAAAATTCAAGTTGTTGAAAAGAATGTAATTTAAGTATTTATATTTTAACATTCATAAATGAAACTAGCTAGCGAGTAGTCAAGTACTCTGAGGTTAGTTTTTGGGCAAATATATTTTTAGTCCTAAAATAACAAGCGTTAATGACCAAAATGACACATATTACAAACTTGAAGGACCAAAGTGACCTCTTAAGGTAGTCACATGAGACATGTCTTAAGGTAGTCACATGAGACATGTGTGAAGATTTCCACTAGTCCACGTAAACCATCGTTTTTTATATTAGATCAAAATGATACAAATTAAAAACTTACAAAACTCAAATGATACAATTAAAAGAATGAAAACCAAAGTAATACAAAATGTATATTTTAAGAGTTCTTACTCTATTTTACCCTTCATTTTTTTATAAACATCAAGAACACAAAAAAGGATGACTATGGAAAATGATTTGAGTTCTCTCAAGCTAGCAAGTTTATTTGCAAAATAAATCACCTGATAATCAGAATTTTGAACGTAGCTGTAAGGACCATCACCGCCGTTCATATGATATGTGGTCGGAGACAGATGAGAATTCACTCCATCCATCCTTGTGTGTGTTTTTGTATGTGTGTGTGTGTGTCTTGGTCCTTATGGTGCTTGCTTTATAGGCATGGACGTAGGGCCTCATGCACTTAAACGAAGTTTTCAACGCGTCGTGTAGTGGATTTGAATTATGGAATTTAGATGCTATTTGATTTCAAGGGCATTTATGGAACAAATAATTCATAAACTTGTGACTATATTATAAACTTGGGATGTACGTAATATCATCTACAATTAGGTAATTGATTCAACCGATTTGATTTATTTAATGTACGAAATCAAATTGTTTAGACATTACATTATACAAATCAAGTCAATTTATGATTGAGGATGGCATTTCTCCTATGACGAGTGTCATATATAATAAATAAATAAAGCAAGAATCAAATATTTGCTTGCGTCTTCTTAGATTTAGGGTGCCAAGTGATTAACAGTGATCTTTTCCCATGCAAGGGTTTGTTGAAATGAAAAGTACTGAGGGGTTAAAATACTAAACAGACTTAAAAAAAACTAACGTAATGAATCACTATCGTTGAATAGGTAGTAGATCATAATAAATAATAAGAGATACAGTAAAATTAACGACAAATATAACAGTCACATCATCAGGTTAGATTTTTAAGTTTGTGTACCATTATTCTTTTTTTTCGAGGTTTTAAATTTAATTTTGCATCTAGTCTGATGTATACAATTTTAGAACGAGTGAGTATATTCGAAATTTACATTGTGGTCACAAACTCAAAAAAAGTGTGATCGCATTTATGTTAATAAAAAATTACACTTCAGTAGTATATACTATCAAAATTGCTAATGTCCAGTAAATATTGGGTGTAATAGTTACATAAGTCAGCATAGACACATGATGTAACCGTCCAATGATAAATAAAAAAATAAGCAAGTGAATTCCACTTTTTTAATACTAGCAATGCATGACGTGCGTTGAATGTGAATATATTTAAATAATATTTTTTTGAATAAATTCAAATTATATATGTAATTAAATTGAATGATAAATTATGTGTGGAATAATTAATTCTTATTTTTAACTATTGCTAAACATAATTAGTGATCTATTCTACCCCTCTTTGAGTATCTAATATGTTAGTTGTTTAGGTATCTCCCCGATCCATTAGGCAATTTTATTTTATTTTTGTTTAAATGAAGTTTTATTATAAGATTATCATTATTGAGTATTTGTATATCTAATTATATTGCAGATTTATTACATTTCTTGTCAAATAAATTGATTAAATTACAATACTATTGTTTGTATTATAATAATATGATATAGTTGCATACAAAAAAAATGATATATTTAATTGTAGAATCCAATCCGACAACTACATGCATATAATAGTAGATTATAATTCNTCTTTTAATAATTGTGATGGACGTGAGATTCAAACATATGACCTATTGCTCTGATACCATGTTAAACAATCATTTACTCTAAAAATTCAAGTTGTTGAAAAGAATGTAATTTAAGTATTTATATTTTAACATTCATAAATGAAACTAGCTAGCGAGTAGTCAAGTACTCTGAGGTTAGTTTTTGGGCAAATATATTTTTAGTCCTAAAATAACAAGCGTTAATGACCAAAATGACACATATTACAAACTTGAAGGACCAAAGTGACCTCTTAAGGTAGTCACATGAGACATGTCTTAAGGTAGTCACATGAGACATGTGTGAAGATTTCCACTAGTCCACGTAAACCATCGTTTTTTATATTAGATCAAAATGATACAAATTAAAAACTTACAAAACTCAAATGATACAATTAAAAGAATGAAAACCAAAGTAATACAAAATGTATATTTTAAGAGTTCTTACTCTATTTTACCCTTCATTTTTTTATAAACATCAAGAACACAAAAAAGGATGACTATGGAAAATGATTTGAGTTCTCTCAAGCTAGCAAGTTTATTTGCAAAATAAATCACCTGATAATCAGAATTTTGAACGTAGCTGTAAGGACCATCACCGCCGTTCATATGATATGTGGTCGGAGACAGATGAGAATTCACTCCATCCATCCTTGTGTGTGTTTTTGTATGTGTGTGTGTGTGTCTTGGTCCTTATGGTGCTTGCTTTATAGGCATGGACGTAGGGCCTCATGCACTTAAACGAAGTTTTCAACGCGTCGTGTAGTGGATTTGAATTATGGAATTTAGATGCTATTTGATTTCAAGGGCATTTATGGAACAAATAATTCATAAACTTGTGACTATATTATAAACTTGGGATGTACGTAATATCATCTACAATTAGGTAATTGATTCAACCGATTTGATTTATTTAATGTACGAAATCAAATTGTTTAGACATTACATTATACAAATCAAGTCAATTTATGATTGAGGATGGCATTTCTCCTATGACGAGTGTCATATATAATAAATAAATAAAGCAAGAATCAAATATTTGCTTGCGTCTTCTTAGATTTAGGGTGCCAAGTGATTAACAGTGATCTTTTCCCATGCAAGGGTTTGTTGAAATGAAAAGTACTGAGGGGTTAAAATACTAAACAGACTTAAAAAAAACTAACGTAATGAATCACTATCGTTGAATAGGTAGTAGATCATAATAAATAATAAGAGATACAGTAAAATTAACGACAAATATAGCAGTCACATCATCAGGTCAGATTTTTAAATTTGTGTACCATTATTCTTTTTTTTTCGAGGTTTTAAATTTGATTCTGCATCTAGTCTGATGTGTACAATTTTAGGACGAGTGAGTATATTCGAAATTTACATTGTGGTCACAAACTCAAAAAAAGTGTGATCGCATTTATGTTAATAAAAAATTACACTTCAGTAGTATATATTATCAAAATTGCTAATGTCAAGTAAATATTGGGTGTAATAGTTACATAAGTCAGCATAGACACATGATGTAACCGTCCAATGATAAATAAAAAAATAAGCAAGTGAATTCCACTTTTTTAATACTAGCAATGCATGACGTGCGTTGAATGTGAATATATTTAAATAATATTTTTTTGAATAAATTCAAATTATATATGTAATTAAATTGAATGATAAATTATGTGTGGAATAATTAATTCTTATTTTTAACTATTGCTAAACATAATTAGTGATCTATTCTACCCCTCTTTGAGTATCTAATATGTTAGTTGTTTAGGTATCTCCCCGATCCATTAGGCAATTTTATTTTATTTTTGTTTAAATGAAGTTTTATTATAAGATTATCATTATTGAGTATTTGTATATCTAATTATATTGCAGATTTATTACATTTCTTGTCAAATAAATTGATTAAATTACAATACTATTGTTTGTATTATAATAATATGATATAGTTGCATACAAAAAAAATGATATATTTAATTGTAGAATCCAATCCGACAACTACATGCATATAATAGTAGATTATAATTCGACTTTATTTCTTCATATAAAAATAGACATAAATATAGAAAACTACATACAAGTGTACTACTAATAAATGAGACCAATAGAATTTAGAATTCATATAATATTGATATTAAGTCCAAAAGAATTTAGAAATCAAATAGGTATAGGAAATAAAAATTGAATAAAATTAATGAAGAATTTAGAAGTCAAATAAGGTTAATAAAATAATCCAAAAGAACTTGGAAGTCAATTGGTATAAGAAATAAAAATTGAATGAAACTAATATGTAGGTATCATTAATTTTATAATAACTAGTTGGTGTACTCACGGGCAACTTGAGTAATTTTGAGTTATATATAATATCAACTTCTAAAACGAAATCGGTTGTTAGATCTAAGAAGAGTGATTATCACCATGTTGAAACCAAAGGCAATTCTTTCTCTTTCCAACGAATTTATAGACAGATGCCACTGAGATATACAACCCTCTATGTGTAGGTCTTGGTATAAAATTGAATATATGTTTAAATTCATTGAACGGACATTAAATCTGAAAATAGAAGAAATAAAAAACTAAATCGAACAAGATATTGTACAAAACGTCCGGAGATTCAAAATTGCCATATATTATAACATCAATTTGACAAGGTCAACTTACAGTAACTGTAGGAGGCAAAAAATGAAATTACCTCCCACTAGATTACAGTTTGGTACTTTCAGGTAAATAGTGTATCTGAACTTGATCTCTCAATCCTTCTTCCTGCAAAACGAGCAAACCATAAAATTTAGGAGTCCATATCGTACTTTTTTTGTAAGCTAGTCATTTTAGATTAAATGAATACCAAATTTAAAAAAACAATCTTTGAGTTAACAAATGAACATGATCAGTTAATTCATTGCTATATAGGACATGATACTATGAGTTCTAAAGAAACCAGGATAATAGGGATCCAATCAGTTGTATCCTTTACATGCTTTTATCCTATGTTGATTACTAACAAGTTGAAAGATTTTTCACCTTGCAATCCTCCTTCATATATATATATATATAGTCATAACTCATACTTGAACACACGATAGAATTTTTCCCACTATATTAAAATTTTTCAACATGTGTATACTATCGTATATGAATAATATTTGAAATAAAAATTATTTTAACTACAAATTAATCAAATATTACATGATTTAACGTGTGATAAAAATAAGTGATGTGGNATTTGCAAAATAAATCACCTGATAATCAGAATTTTGAACGTAGCTGTAAGGACCATCACCGCCGTTCATATGATATGTGGTCGGAGACAGATGAGAATTCACTCCATCCATCCTTGTGTGTGTTTTTGTATGTGTGTGTGTGTGTCTTGGTCCTTATGGTGCTTGCTTTATAGGCATGGACGTAGGGCCTCATGCACTTAAACGAAGTTTTCAACGCGTCGTGTAGTGGATTTGAATTATGGAATTTAGATGCTATTTGATTTCAAGGGCATTTATGGAACAAATAATTCATAAACTTGTGACTATATTATAAACTTGGGATGTACGTAATATCATCTACAATTAGGTAATTGATTCAACCGATTTGATTTATTTAATGTACGAAATCAAATTGTTTAGACATTA